AGCACTGAAGATATCCTTTTGGAACAGATTCTGGCTGTAGAAAGCTATGTCAAGCAAAAACCAAGTGGTTGTTGTACCAAGCAAGTGAAGTCCATGGCGCCGAAGAAACTCTTTAGAGAATAAACCAAATTTGGCCTTTGATTGAGAAATTTTCTCAACCTTCTGTGGTTCCGCCTCGATGTCCATTTGCAATACCTTTGACATATCGGAGGCAGCCTGCTTTGCATCCTTGGCAACAAGGGCAGTGTAACGAGCAGTCTCAGGCATCTTCATCCTCCAGTAGTAGGTAAGAAGAGCCGGAAGGGCTCCAACCATCAAAATAATACGCCAAACATAGTCTGCTTGAGGAACAGTTGAGGCAGATGGATCAACGTCATAAGGTGGAGCATAAAACCTGGCCTTGAATGCAGATGATATAATGATTGCAAATATACCACCCGTTAGAATTCCAAAGCCCTGCATGGCAAAGACAGCTGCAATAAAGGCTCCACGCGTCTTCTTGTTAGCATATTCGGACATAATTGTGGCAGAAAGAGGGTAGTCACCACCAATGCCAAAGCCAAGCCAGAACCGGAAGAAGCACAAAGTTGCCATGACAGATTTAGGGCTATGGCCAAAAGAGAGACCTGAAGCAATCGAACACACGACCATCATCATAAGAGTCATACCATAGACCTTCTTTCGACCCAATTTGTCACCGAGCCAACCAAAGAAGAGTTGGCCTGAAAGAGTTCCGCAGAAAGCCACACCATTAACAGCAGCTGACACATTGGGAGGTAATGTTCCGGGCTTAGATGAACCCTCAACATGATAGTAGATGCGACCAAGCAATTTTGTCACGAGCGATATGCAGAAGAGATCATATGCATCAGTGAAGAAACCCATCCCAGCAATGATGATTGCTGTAAAATGGTACCATTGTGTTTTGGCTACATCAAGTGCATTAAGAACTTGCAATTGTTGTCCAGCCATGTTTAGCTACCGAACTCACACAAACTTTCTTTCTCTTCTCTCCTCTCCTGCCTGAGAAAGATCAAACAACAAATGTTACCACCAAAGCAAAACAAATGACACCTTTAAGTAAGAGTGAATTGATTTTTAAAAAATCCCCTAGTTGACTTTTCTTAGCTAGGATGATGGATGCACATGTGGGCATTAAAAGCACTGATAATATAATTGGTACCACAAAAAATTCTTAAATTACCCATTACAGGCCAAAAATCGAACTAATCCGTTGACCAAGATATAAGCAGCCAGAAGAAGGGGAACTCTTCCTTATTTTCTGCATTGATAGCAGGGATGATTCCTTAATACAATACTAATGTGAATGAACAAATTAAAAGCAACCAGGACAGCATCAGTTGAAATTTGTTTGTAATCCACTTAACTCTGTACAGATTTCCATATCTTTCACAGTTTTTCCATGGCAACCGACCATGGTATTCAAGTCAAGAAAGATGGCCAAGCCATGGTCCAACTTTTTTAACCCAGTTGAAGGTCATAAAAAGTGGTCCATATCTTCAGGCCGGAGAGGCATAAAAAAGTAGTAAACTGCCCCTAAATCAAAAAGGGTAATCATCTTTTAGAAAAAGAAGGAACCCCAGAGCCATAGGACATTGTAACTTCCAATCAAACAATATTGAATAAAGGATAGTTATAAGTATATATTTTAATTTAATATAATAAAAAAGTGATTTTTAGGATGATTAGATAGTTTTGAAAATCTGCAATTTCTTTAATATAATATATAATATATTTATTAAAAAATTATTATTTTTATTTAAAATTAAAAATAAATAAATTTAAAGATATAATTATATAATAATTAATTTATATTTTATTTAAATAAAAATATTAAATTATCAAATAAATCAAAAACCCAAATCAAATGTCCTTGCCATGTAAGTATGACATGGCAATATTTTGCCAACCAAGCAGCCAAAGCGGGGTGTGTCCTCAACGGCAGTTAAGTCAGGTGAGCAATCCCAAACGGCAGTTAAGTTGGGGTAAGAAGAAGGGCTTAATTGCTTTGATCTCAGAGTTTAAGGGCTTATATGCCTCAATTAAAGTTGAGGGGCTTAATAGCGATTCTGGGGTTAGTTCAGGGGCTTAACTTATGGTTTTGCCTTGCCAAAATAAGTCTCGGTTTTTGAATTTCTCACCATACAAAATTTAAAAATTTCACGCATAAATTTTTGTTTTTTTCTTTCAACTTTTTTTTCTGTATCGTTCCTGTATCTCCATTTGCTTGTTTTATAAACTCAAGTTCTGGTTTCAGAGTGGAGCTGCTCGTCATCTGCTTTGTAGTTCCGATTCTCCGATTTCCGCCGCTGCCATGTCGTTCCGAGGACTAAGTCGAGTATCTCTCTTTTTCTATATATCTCTACACCTCATCTTGATATGATTAGCTATTCTCTTTCAGATTTGTTGATTTCATCATGGATTCCCCCCCCCCCTCCCCTTTTTTTCTTTTCCTCTGTGAACTTAGTCTTGTGTGTAAGTTTCTTAGCCCTTTAATTCATTAAAATTCAAGTTGTGATGTGAAATTAGCCAGTTTTTAGTTAATGGGTTCAGATTGTTTTGGAAGAGGTTTCCTTTTGGTGCTAGAAATGAGCTAAATTTATATCTCTTCGAAAAATGAAAATAAAATGCCTTCTCTTTTATATGCAGTTTGAGTAGTTCTGAATTGGGTGTTGTTTGTTCTGGAGGTTCTTGTAATATGAATATAAAGCCTTGAGCTTGCTGGTTCATATGATTTTCAGTTCAATAATTTGTCTTGTTTTGTGCAAAAGGTCTTAATTTTATCCTTAAGTGAAAATTGTATTGTATTTCCTCAATTTCCTGCATTCGATTTTAATGATGACTTAAAATTTTGTCTTCGTTTCTGAATTTGGTAGAATTTGTTGGAGATAATTGTTATGTTGAAAAATTATAGCTTCTGTTTTGTTTAAGTTTTCCAAGGAACGAAATTGGTCATGCAGTCTTCTCTCGTTTCCAGCAAAATACTATGTCTGGGATGGACGTCCCAGAACATAGCAAAGGCACGTTTTTGGAACTGCAGAGGAAGAAGGTTTATCGCTATGTGATTTTCAAGATTGATGAGAAGAAAAGGGAGGTTTTGGTAGAGAAGACTGGGGGCCCTGCTGAGAGCTATGATGATTTTATGGCAGCTTTGCCTGAGAATGATTGCCGATTTGCTGTATTTGACTTCGATTTTGTGACCTCTGAGAATTGTCAAAAGAGCAAGATATTCTTCATTGCATGGTTAGTTTTCTCCATTTTTTCTTCATCTTGTCTTTTGAACGCTGTTTTGTAGGAATTATATTGCTTGTCAGTTAATAGATCATCATTGTGAAATATTATCTTTTGTACTGATCCATGGTGTGATCCAAATTGTAGTTGGTTTGGATTTGGACAAAATAATAAACAAAGTGCCATAATAACTTTTTGGAGGTGATGGCACCTTGACATTTGTTAGGAATTTGATGAGTTCATTAGGTGAGCAGGCATGTTTGCAATGGCATAACTTTATTCATCTAGTTTGACAGGAGATTATCTTTTTGTGCATACTTTAAATTTTGTTTATGCCAACATATTGACATCAACTTCACAGAAGTTATGGACCGAAGTTCTGTTTAATTTCTTGCATTTTCATACATAGTTTTAGACTAGGATACCTGTATAAAACTCTACTTGAGGAGTTTTGTGGCCAAAGCCCACTTTAGAACTTTTTTAGCTAACACACACAAGGTGATTGCTCTAATATATTGAGAGCTTACTGAGTACAAATTGGGCTTGTGTTTTTTCACAATATGCACATCTCCAGTGGTTTAGTTTCTGTTGGTTCTCTAGTTACAGCTGCATTCGTCTGGCATTTATTGTTCTATTAATTGAGTTTTCCAATCAGATCTTGTTACTTATTGTGTGGATTATGTTGGTCAGGTCCCCTTCATCCTCTCACGTCCGTGCAAAGATGCTCTATGCCACATCCAAAGACAGGCTTAGAAGGGAGCTAGATGGTGTCCACTATGAGATTCAGGCTACTGACCCTACAGAAATGGATCTTGAAGTGTTAAGGGACCGTGCTCACTGAACAGTCTCCGACTTGATTGTTTAATCCTTGAGGAAACATCTGTTGAGGAGCTTTGCCAACCTCTGTATTACTTTTTCTTCCCCCATAATGCTATGTGCAGCATTGTTCTCTGACACAAACTCATGTATAAAACATAATCGTGAATAACCGGAATCTGGTTAGGCTGATGTGAAGCTCTGGGCTAACGTTACCTTGTTGGTCGTTGCCAATAAATCCAGTGGCCGGTTCTTCACTGTCTTTTGCCGTAAGCGAAGGTAGTTTAAAGTTGGCTGTATGGAAACCCTAGTGGAATTTACGATAAGCTTTAATAGTCATTATCTCACAATTTTTATCATCAGATTCCTTATTCTACCCTTTAGAATGCTCTGTACACCCCAAAAGCTGGCCAAAGTTGCCCTTTCGCCTGTGATCCGGGGTGGAGACGCAGCTCTCTGGCTAAGCAGCAGCAGTCGCTAATAGCCATTTGCATATTTGATGTGGAGGAATTGTTCTTAAGTGGCGTTCTGTGACAGCTGAACTAGACTCAAACAATTACATATAATCTGAAGCCATAAAATATGTTGGAAGTATGTTGTTCTCTTATGAGCGTGAAGGAATAGAGTCTCACGTCAATTAAATATGAAAAAAAAGTGTGGTTTATGTGTCAAGATTTATGTAACTACTAAATTAATATTTGGGTTTCAAAATAGTGTCAAAATATGCAATGGACCACTTAATGTGTTTCTTTGTTCAGTTAGATGCCCACTTAACAAGTGATGTTAGAGTCAGTCATTTTAGTCTTAGATCAGGTACAGCAAAGTGAGAGTGTAAGTCATGTAATTCTATGACAAGTATACCTATGGATGATGTGCCCATAATGTGTATATCCTTGAATCATGTATGTATGTAAAATAATAATAATAATAATAATAATAATAATAATAATAAAATATGTTCATGATGTGTATTCTTTAGAATCATACACGTATGTAAAAATAAATAAATAAATAAATAAAAAATAAACTCTCACGTGAGCTTCTCTTTGTGAGTGTGAAAGAGTAAAGTCTCACATTTTGGTGGCTTGAAGTAAAGTCTCACATTGGTGAAATATGAAAAGAGAGAGTGTGGTTTAAATATGGTTGACTCTTGTGCCTATTAGACTAATTTTTTTATTTTTTTTTTATTTTGAGATGGTGTTAAAATATGTGATGGGCCACCGAACGTGTCTCCCACCAAACAGCCAATGGCAGTTTTTCAAGCCACTAAAAGAGATTTTGGGGTTCCAGGATTCAAGTCATGCTTTTCAGATTAACAGTAACATTCAGCTGTCAGCGTGTCCGTTCATATTTGATATGTCAAATGTATGTATATGTCTCTAAGGTCTTCATCTGAAAGATTGAACCAAGGCTGAGCAAACTGAAGGTAGAAGACAAGGGTTATGCCATTATTAAGCACCTAACCAATATTCTATACCAACTGCAGAGAAGCTAGCATTCATATAGCTTATAAGCCCAAAAGGTTAAAAAGTACCTTACGTACTTTAAGTAAGCAAGAATGAAATAATACTTAATCAAGCCAAAGAACATATCCACACATATCGCACTTGACCTTTCGGGTCTAGTGACATTAATCATTAAAAAAAGTGCACTCTCCCCTCCCCTTTGGGTGATTCCATCCCTTGCTAACATGTTCAAAAAAAAAAAAAAAACCATATCCACACACACCAGAAAATCCGAAGAAACAAACAGACACGAATTTCTATTATCATATATTCCTC